ATTTATGTAATTTTTTATATATTAATAATAAAAATAATAATGTAGAGAAGAGATAAAATAAATATCGGAAACTACATAAACTTTTTATTTTGGTCTCATTTTAATTATTTTGATGAAAACTTTCTAATGATATACATTGTTAAAAAAATATTTTATTACAATTTAATAAATAGTCAAAATATCTAAACAACTCATTATAGGGGTAAATTCGTCATTTTTACTTGTTCCTGTTTTGTTCAGTCATGTCTTACCAAATACTGAACAGTTATTCTGTCTTGTCTTTTGTTAATCCATCATGCCTGGACAATAAAGGCACCCTAAGGGTTTGTTTGGTATAATATACATGATATTGTTTCATGTTTCCCATAACTTTTATATGGAATAGCCAGAAATGTGTTCCACCCTACCACATGGAACAAGTTGAAATAAAACTATATTTTTACCAATATACCTTCAAAATAAAACTTAATTCCCTTCTAAAACATCAAATACGTCTCCTTTTTTTATATTTTTTCCGTTATTTAATTTCTGTTTATTCGTATTTCATTCTTATTAAACTTTCATTTTGCTGTTCTCAGAATTCCAATTTTTATACATTTCTATTTTGTTGATAATTTATGTAATTTTTTAAACATTAATTATAAAAACATGATATAGAAAATGTATAAAATAAAAATTGAATACTGAATACTTACTTGGCATATCTTGTCAAGATACCACACGCACACTAACGAGCCGACTAATCCGAGGATGACCATCTGCTTTGCAGATAACCTGGAGTCACCACATTTGAACTTCCGTGGCCACAAGAGGATTTTTATTCCTTCTTGGATTACAAATCTAGATTTAACATCAACAAATAATAAACCAAGTCTTACAGAAAAGTCTAGGTAAAAGACAAGTTTCACTAAAATTCCATAATAGTCGCAATCTCCAAAGTACGGAAGACGTCTGCAAATAACTAAATCATTCTTGTGTCTCTAACTAGCACTCGACTCTTCACAGTGCCGCTAGTCTCATTCCCTAACAAGGACCTGATGCACATGCCGACAAGAAAAGTTTTAGGCTTAACGTCTTGTGAATTCAAGCAGTTTTCATCATTTTATATAAAGCCATAAAACGGAGAGAATGTTATTCAAATCACGTTTTTCAAAAAGAAACATATTAAATATCAAAATAACATCTTTCCCAAAACCCACGTTTATATTATAAAAACTTATAAATCAAAACACTCATGTAACATGAAACTAAAACAAAATACTCACCCAAAACATGAATAAAGTTAAATATCCAAACATGGATAAAACTCTGTTATCCAAAACAACCAAAATGTGGATAATGTTCAGTATCCCAAAACTGTACGCCATGGATAACACTCCATACTCCAAATGTCGCGAAAACATGGATAAACTCTATATCGAAAAAAACCTTTTAGTGACGGTTGTTTCCATTGAATGTCAACCAAAAGTAGGTCGTGTATCAACATATCGAATTGCACCTCATATCATTGACTTTAGTGCACACTATATTAAGTGTCACTTCAAGTACTTAATACCTTTATTGTAGACCCCCTATTGGGCGCCACCTCGAGGCATAGAATGACTAAGGGGCCGTTTACTTAAATGTTTATCCGGTATGTGTTTAACGTTAGGAGTCAACACTATAATTTATTTTATTGGGTAAGATTATAGTACATCAAAACGTATCCTATGCAACAATTTACCTGATAAGCGCTTACCCGGGTAAGAGTCGTCACCCTCACTTACCGGATAAGACTCTCCATCTTTATCATCGCTCTTACCGGGTAAGATTCTTGGCCCTTGCCATGTTCATCCAGTGAGAAAAATTACCATGTAAGTACTTATCGGGTAAGCTTTTAGTAAACGACCCCTAAGTACCGGAATTTCACCAGTCAAGTCAATTAAATCATGGGTTCGAATCCCATTTCCTCCATAAACAACAACCCTTGGGAATCTGAATTAATTTAACAGCTCAGATATTGTTACTCATGATACTGATCCATGATTATTCCAAGAGTTATACCTTTCTTTGATATGAATTCTCTAAAAATATAGGGTTGTTCTAGCTATAACAGTATAAAATATAAAGTATCAAATATCATTAAAAAATTACATCTTTATTTTAAATATTTAATATTAATTATATATTTAAAATATATAATTAACCTGGATATCCAACTCACTATGCAAGCCGACTAATCCCAGGACGATCATCTGCTTTGCAGATAATCCGGAGTCACCAAATTTGAACCTCCGTGGCCACAAGAGGATTTTTATTCCTCCTTGGATTTGAACCTGAGACCTCCTGATACTTTTGACCTTTGGAGCCAAGCTTAAACCAATCAGGCACCACCCTTGTGATTACCAGTCAACAACTACTACTTTCAACTTATTATAATCCCCAATTTGTCCATTAATCTTAAAACCAAAAAAGTCTTTTGTTTGATCTCAAATAATAACTGTTTGACGAATTCCACCTTTACGGAAGACTACTTTCAACCAAAGAACCAAAAAAAGATTATCGTAAAGGTGGAATTTGGCAAAAAGAACATGTTGGGCATAAGACGTAGTCTTCCGTCTTGTTCAAAAAGTCGAGGTCAATTACATTTTTAAGATATATTGTATCAAATCGTCACAATTGAATTTTCCCCAAGTCAAACAGTGTTGACTTTTTCCTGTTGTTAAAAGGCGACTTTGCAAGCCTTTGATTGATCTTAACGGTGCATCTGCTCGAGAAAATTCTTGGGTCAGCCACCAAGTTCTTGTATTATCTTGGTTTTTACCTTAAATTTATTGTGAAGTGACAATTTGATAATTATTTTAGGGAGAGGGTAATTGTACCTCTATCCATTGTTATTGACACCCCTAAGTCTACTTTAATTATTATTATTATTATTATTTTACTTTCTATGTTTTTTTTTATGTTTTATGTTTTTTTTTTTTAAAGAAATTTTAATCTATACAAGTCATTTATTTGTTGTTTTCATCTTTTGTTTTTTTATTATACTAATTTACTTTAAAGAATTTTAATTAATATAAGTTTTTATTTTCTTTCTTTATTTATTTATATTTTAATTGATATGAATTATTAATAAATACATATTTTCTTTTATACTATTTATCTTATATTTTAATATTTGTTTTATAATATTTCATCATAATATTTTAATTAATATAAATATTAATAACAAATAAAATATTTTACATGTAAGTTAAGTTTTTTTTCTTTTATCTTTTTTACTTTCATTTAAAAATAGATTAAAAAAAATTATTGATATAAATGTTACTATTTTTTTTGTTATCATATAATTATAAAAATTAAACACAAACATTGAGATTTAAAGCTATAAGTAAAATATAAAAAAAAGTATGTAAATAAGACATAAAATAATTTATGTTATATTTCAGTTATTCTAGAGTGACATTATTTGTAGTTCAATTAACATATGGACGTATTTTGTAATTATTGTTGAAGAAAGAATTGTATCTCTTTGGTTCCTAGTAGCTCATTTCATCTAAATAAGCAAATTTTGATACGTTCAAACAACTACGTCTAAGAGGTTTTTCTTTATTATTAATTTGATTCGACATTTTATGAATTTTAAATTTAGCATAATTTCCAAGCAATTCAATATTCCCTGTTAAGGGTGCAATTATCCCCCCTCTTTTTATATATTTTTTGACTTATATATCCTGTATATGTATATATGACTTATATTATACATGAAACCCACAAAATAGGTTCTTACATACGCACCACCATTACTACCGCCTCCACCTCTACCATAGCCACCACCACTACGCCCGCAACTACCTCCTCCATCATTAAAGGTTAAAATATTATTCGATGAAAGATTTCCGACACCATCTTAGAAACCAAAGTTCACAAAATTCTCATAACAACAAGATCGATCCCAATTCTACATTCTAGAACAACTACGTAAATCCTAACTAAACACGAAAACAATGGTTCTACAAACATACCAAAATACTAACATACATATCAAACATCAAACCGAATAATCTTTTTCTTGTTTTGGTAACGGTGGATGTCTAAGTCAGCTTGTTCACACCTCGGTAATATCATGGGCCTGAAGATATCAGCTAAGAAAATTCCTAGTAACCCTCAAGAGAGCAAAACCGACGAACCAAGGAAGGACCCCAAGGCTTAGCCTAAACTGAAGAATCTTCAGCCTTGCTACTGTTGCATTCTCTCTTTCAGACCTCCAAGAGGCCCATAGCTTTTCGGATTCGAGCTCTCTTCACTACAATTACAATTACTAATATTAAGATTTTGACCACATTTGAGACACAAACCTTTGCACATTGGATCACAGAGAGCGTTGATCGTTATTTCCAGGTGCACCATGTCTCTTACATTCTTCGATATATCTATCACTTTCTCTTCCGGAGGGAAATACAGCCAATCATCTAAGTCGATGGATGCATCATTGTCTTCTTCTTGTTCTACGGTTCCAGACGAGCCATTAAACTTGCCTTCACCATAAATGACTCCCATGTTTATGATATCAGGCTCTTCTATTGGCTCTTCAGTTAGTACCAGTGAGAAATTGGAGAAGACACAATCAGCAGCCAGTCCACCACACCTTCAAACAGTGCCCGGTTGAGCCATAAACAGATATCAGTCGCTATCTTACGCATTGAAAATATAAGTTTTGACATAATATAATCCTAGATGCATTGCTTGTTTGTTCCTATTTATGGTGTTTCTCAAATGTATACAGACTAAATTATATGAAATACAGTCAAAAACATGAAGCTGGATGATGGTAATAGCCACAATCCACTACAACAAAATCAGCTTTATAAGACGCTAAATATGTCTAAATGTCCCAATAGACAGATTATATGACTCAAGTTTATAGGACCAACCAAACAATTGTGCATCCTATGTAAATGTTTTGCAATAAGTTGTAGGACGCTTTTAGGAGTTCTAACAAGATTTTTAAGACAGTTTTATAATAAACTATACCGTTAGTCTTTTTATAAAATTACTTGAAAAAATATCTTGTCAAAACAAGTAATAGGACACTTCTAAAAGATGTCCTATAAATATATCTTCAAGAACAAGAAGTTACCTATTGCATCCAAGAGTTATCACTGTGCGTATGATCCCGTCAAGCCTCAACCTCTGCTTCTTCCTGGTAACATCGATGGAAACCAAGACAGGTGTTCCGTATGGAAAATCCTTCACTGACTTTGTGACTCGTAATCCCATCAAAGAGGCTCGAGATGTCGAAACTTCAGTTGAAAGATACCCTAATCCCAACCTTTCTAAGGTTGTACAATACTCGAGGTGGGAGATTGAAGGGTTTCTTTGGTACAAAATTGCCCCTTCCCAAGGTGAATCCATAGGATCAGCCCCAACATCTTCTTGGTCCCTCCAATCATCTTCCATATTGCTTTCACCAGCGAGCTCGTAGTTGGAGTTCACTGATGCTCTTGTTATAAATTCCAAGGGTGATTTGTGTTTTAGAATCATGGATGCGTGCTTATTAGCAAATAAACGTTTTTGAAGAATGTTGCAACTGATAGAGTTGTGATGTGGATGTGATAACGTTATTTGTGGGACTAGAACGTGTGCTCCCTTGACATTATTTTCATAAAAACAAGGGGACACGAAGGATGAAGATAGTATGAGAGGCATTTTAACTTTATTTATAATCCCAGACCTCAAGTTATGCTGCCCCCTCTCAAAAGAAAAACTAGAGAGTATTAATTAAGGAGATAAGCTCCAAGAATGAAGTATGCAACCGACAAAGGGTGTACTGGAAAATTATGAAATAGGAACTTGAGGTAGAGTGAGGTATGCAGAAATCATGTTGTCAACTGTAAGAAGCAGCTCCTGTAAGATAGATTAACTCAACTCAATAGAATATATAAGAAAAGTGATGCAACAGAAGCAATGTCTTGCAGAAGATACAAACAATTAACCTTTTTAAACATGTTAGATCTATAGGTTCAAGAAATGATTCACTTTTAACAATTTCTTAAGCATGAAATTTTTGCACCCCCACCTACCCGTGGACATCTCATCACCCCTTAAAGAATTGAGAATGATATATGCACTTAGTTTTATAGCTAGAAATAGTTCAACTATTTTCCATAAGTTTATGATCGTTTTGTATAGTCTCTCTGCTTGAAAAGGATGTGTTCACTCAAAATTCCATGTCATGCAGCCAAACAATTTTGAATTAGTACCAAACTTCCATTTTCAAAAACCAAATTTGTTCCATTTGGGCAGGGCCAGGGTTGTGTTATGAGGGGAACCTCTTAGCAACTAGGTCTAAAATAAACAATCCAAGCCGGAGGGTTGAGACATTAAAGGATTTCAGTCAAGATGTTAATTAAAAAAGATCAATAACAAACAATCCACAGTGAAATTTGCTGGATCTTGCTACTGAACACAATACTGTTCATATACTTGGAATTTTAGCAGGCACTAGATCTTCAACTCAAAGCAAACTCAAATTCATCCATATTTACTTATTTTGTATGATTGTGAATTTAGGGGTTGTTTGGTAGATAAGAATGATTAAGCGGTGAGAATGATTAAGAGACTCTGTAATATGTATGATTTAGTGCAGAATGAATAATGATTGTTTGGTAAATATTCTGAATGGACAGTCTAAATGACAGGAAATTACCATTTTACCCTTCAGTATGCAGAATTAAGAACTTATTTTTTCTCACAGTATATATACATACATCATAAGAAATTGTGGTGCTATTATTCTCCCTTTACCTACAAAAGAACCGTGATGCTGCTCAATCTCATACAACAAAAACTCTACTAGCCACACAAAATCTACTCTACCCTTAATTATTGTTCTTGTAAAGTTCTGTTTGTAATAAAAAGCCAAAGTTCAAGGAGTTACGGCAAATCAAACCCACCCATGCCAATTGAACGACTGTGATTTTTTAGTATGAGCCATTGATGGGTTTTTATAATCCCGCAAAGAGAACCACTAATAGCACACCAGTGGATCCATGAATCCACAACCAGTTAACATCCAAAGCTAAAAGCTTGATACTTCACATATAATAAATAATGCGAACTTTCCTTGAGACATCTAAAGCTCATTTTTTCTTTGGAATCACGTGAGGATCCATGGAAAAGGGTACTTAAGCGGTTCCTATTACTGCATCTGCAGCAAGTGTTGCTTTCAACACCCCACTCTGCACTTATGCACGAAAAAGAAATCAAAATGTTGGTACTTCACATATCATACGTAATACCAAATTTTCCTTGAGACATCTAAAGCACATTTTGTCTTTGGAATCATGTGAGGATCACTTTGGTGAGTCAACTGAGGTGTGCATTGACCTTTCAACTAATAAGCCATAGACCCACTTCCTTAGTAGATTACACCATTTCATCATATCTATATTACCAAACAGTTAGTTGTAATCAATCCAATACTCAACACCAACATACCCCTTGATTAATATTTCCTTTTTCCTGAAAACTAGTGCATTTCGTTCTTGCCCGATGAAGTACACCACAACAGCAATACCAGCCTATATATCACACTTATGAAGTTTGTGAAGTTTACTTCCTAGATTCAAAATTTAAATGGATTTTACATCACAAACTTAACATCCACAATTCCACATATTTCCAACTTAAATGTACAAAATTCAAGAACTCGATTCCATGGTGAGAGTTGGTTTTCATTTTTCAGTTTAAGTGAATAACATCATTGAAATTTATAAAATTGAATACTTTAAATCCGACGAAATACACAGAAAATAGAAGGGAAGCTGTCTAATTTCATCATTAACAATAAGACAAAGAAGAAAAAGGAGGATTTGTGATGAAATCATGTGTTATAGATTGATGAAACCCTAGAGTTGAGAGTTGATTTGAGAGAGAGGGGTAGAGGAGTACCTGGAATTCGTGAAGCAGAGAAGAGAGGTTTAGGAGATTGGATGGTAAAACCCGAGCGCCTTATATTCGTTATAGTTGTTTGGGATTGTTTATTTTAGGTGTTTGTTTTTTATTTATTTCAGTTTCAGACTGGTCATAAATTAAATGTTAGTGTTTGGATGAGAAAAAATAAAACTGTTTATATTGATGTCAAATCGATAATAAACAGTTTTTGATAAGTTAATTTTTCCTGACTTATGAAAAACTGTTTATTACCAGTTTACCATTTTAACTCTGTTTTATTAATGTTTTTTAATTATTAATTTATTGATATAAATTTTTGTCAAAGATATTATTATAAATGATGAAAAAAATAAATTTTTACATGTTAAAAAATCAAATAAGTTAATAAGCAATGCCAAACACTCCCAGAAGTCAATAATATGGAAGACTGTCTTTTTTGGTCATTTCACATATATAAACAAAATTTGTTAAACGCTTAAAACAACTTATCAACTTATTACTTTTTAGTACCGATATAAGCTAATACAAACATTTTTACAAAACTCTGATTTAATACCACATAAGTTAATAAGCATTTTTACAGAAAAACATAAGTTATTTTAAATAAACAATCCCAAACACCCCCACCCCCCTATATATGGTTCTTGAAATCCTTGCAGTTGGATCGGATGACATTCCACCAAATCGAATAAATGATCCTATCATATTACGCTAAAATTTAAAATTTTGTATCCCGATAAAACAATCAAATCATGTATCAATCAATTTAATTTAATCAGTACCAATTTAATTGGTTGACAGTACTCTTTCAACTATCTAAACTTAGTTGGTATATAATGTTAAAAGTCGTGTACCACGATAATACCGTATCATACCGACTTATTTTTGTAGGAGTAAACTCTAAATTTTGATTTAAATCTATAAAAGTGAGAGCTAAACTTTGATTAGTTTGACAGTCATCCTTGGTGTTATCATTTTGCTTTGAGTGGTCCTTGGTCACTGACTCCGTTAGAAAGTTTAGTCTTTTTACCTATTTTCTGTTTAAAATATATAATATATAATAAAATTGTTTATTTTATATTATTATTATTATATATACATATATTATCTATACTATTTTATAAAGCATTTGGCTAAAACTCTTAAAAACTCTTAAACTCGTTCATCCCTATCCGATTTCATCTCATATCTGAATTCGTGTAACTAACTGCAAATAAACACAATCAAATATAGGATAAACATCTCATTTTAAATATAAAAAATCTAAAATATAATTAGTATAATCATTAAATTCAAACAGAATACTTAATTATTATATTTATAAAATTTATAATATTAAACCAAAAATAAATTGTTTTATTATTAAACTTAAATTAAATTATATAAAAAAAATATAGTCTATATTATTATCATTTGACAAAAACTCTTAAAAACCACTTTTATGCGTAAAATACTGTTTATTAATGCATATTACTTAAAACTCAAGATTACAAGTAATTTGTGCGTAAGTACAACTTATTAAAGCTCCATATCTGAATTCGTGTAACTAACTGCAGATAAACACAATCAAATACAGGATAAACATCTCATTTTAAATATAAAAAATCTAAAAGATCTAAAATATAATTAGGATAATCATTGAGTTCTAACATAATACTTAATTATTATCTTTATAAAATGTTATATTATTAAATCAAAAATAAATTATTTCTTTATTAAACTTAAATTAAATTATGAAAAAATCTATACTATATTACACAAAAAAATGAGGAATTTCAAATAGTTAATTTGATATTAATATCGATATATTTTTGTCAAATTTTTATGATATCTTTAAACATATATTTTATTCAAAAATAAAAACATCATCGCTTTCTCAAAATCACATAAAGCCATATTATAACATCGACTGAGATAAAGAATAAAATGAAATATTAAAATCACGATGTATCTCGTTGCATTGCGCGAGTATGCTTCTAGTATTTTTTTAATATATAAATTTAAGAAACAATTTTAAATTAAGAATATATAAATTAAGAGATGATAGATAATTTATAAATTTAAAAAAATATATATTTAAATTTAATTTATAAATTTAAGAAATATAATATATAACTTAAGAAACAATATTTAAGTTATATAAAATTTTAAAAATATTTAAGAAAGTCGATAAAAAGACTAAACCACCCCTCATTCTAATAAAGATTGTTAATGGAATAAAATTAGTGATCAGATATCACTTTCAAAGCAATTTCTAGACTTATCAAAATCTAAGTCCCACTTTTAAATATTTTACTAAACTAAGGGACCAAAATTACATTTCACTCTTTTTTTAAAATTATTTATTAATTAAAATTTTAAACAATAATACAACATATTTTGATTTTTTTGATTTTTAATAATCTTATTTTCTATTTTATAAATTATAATATTGATGGATATACAAAACTTGATTGAAACGTTTCCCTAACTTTTTCAGCTTTAGTATCTTTTATACACTTTCACGGTCAATCATCGCTCCTCAATGTCCTGCTATTATTAGAATAATACTGGATGAATGTATTATACGAAAATTATTTGAATGCTTGTATATGTAGAGATAAGTGGTATAACAACACATATCCGCATCTTATTTCAATGTTCCATGGTTTTAGTGTATATATATATATATATATATATATATATATATATATATATATTTAGTAAAGATGTCAATACAAATAAACTTGTAACTCCAACTTTTATGATGTTATATAAAACCGTACCAACATGTACAAATTGAAAAAAATTGATAGCACAGTATAGTTAATTAGTACATAGTACAAAATTTTACATACCAATTATAATTTATGGGTACACAATTAACATAAAAAAACATGATACCATACTATCCATGTTTAGATGACTACCACTCTTCGAGTGATTACTATATGACATGATCAACATTAAACATTTGGATCAAGTAGATTTTTCATGATAAGAAAAGGTGTCTTTGTGGATATGTATGTTTGATGTACCAATAGATTAAGCTTAAAAGGCATCAAACATAACCAAAACGACAATCAGCACTTTCTATCGATGAATGAAGCTTAGCTGTCACCGTATCTTCTTGTTCATCTAAGAAGTCGAGGGAATCACCATAATATTTACGAGCTTCTTGCTTAATACCTTCAGAAAGCCCGGTTTCTCCTTTTGATTCTAAATGGGCGACTAATAATTTAAACGTTGATCTATCAGGCTCACAATCAATCTCTTTCATCAACTCGAAGCAATCCATGGCAAGTCCAGTCATGTTGTAACTCATCAAATTTTCCAACAACGCATTAAACCCCTCTGTCTTACCCTCTAATCTACCCTTTTCGCTTTTCAATTCAACAAAAATCATATCAACCTTATCATACAAGCTGTTCCTAGCCAAGACCAAGATTATTTCAGCATATAATGATACCTCCGGTTTATACCAATGTTCCTTTTGAATCTCTGCAAAAACCTACATCAATAATAATCAATGTTCCATGATTTTAAATTAAGATTGAACATAAATCATGTATAGATATGTCATTAAGAGCCATTTACTTGATAAACCAAACCAAACCAATCTAGTATATACCACCAGGGTTGTGGGTGAAGGGGTAAGATATACACAGACATGTCCCTACCCTACCCCAAAGAGTAGAGTGGCTAAAACCAAACTAAACCCAACAGACTCAGTAAATCCCACTCGAAAGTAGGTCAAACCAGACCTCTACCTCAGGAGTAGAGCGGTTGATTCTGTGAAAGTTAGTTGCTGATAGGAGCAGATAAACCGAAGAAAGTGTGGTTTTTTAATAAGACCGACCATAAGGGCGAGGAGGGAATGATCTTGGCGGAGGAGTTCACGAAGGATGGCCATCATATCAAACTTGAGTAATCTAGTAAACTTGGAATGGATGACCTGTTGTTGCTTGTCTGAAAATTTAGGTGCTCGTTTCAGTGCTTGAATTGTTTGGATGGCCTCTATGCTTAGATTTCGGCCTTTCTGCAAGGGTTTCCTGTTCTTGCCTCTGTCTCTCATTGTTATTCTCATTGAACTCCCTCTGCACTTGTTTCCAATTTCAAGTGATGGGCTATTTGAGAATTCTGTAAAACTATCACAACAAGACATTCTTGTTTGTATAGAAACAGTTCCATATCCACAACAACTCATACCTCTTGTTGCCATGCTCATCTTCAAATTTACACTGAAATACAACATGTTGTTTCTTTCAGATGATATAGACCATGAAATGCTACTTGGGTTACAGCAACAACCGTTAATGAGACAGGATGAATCTTCAAGTAAAGCATAATAATCCCAAATAAAATGGGGTTTTAGAATGACAAAAGTTAGGATTTGGGTGCTAAGCATACATGGTAGTCTGGAAAAGGCATAATGACAAACAGTTGGTGTGCTCCGCATTAAAAGCTACGATAAGATGCATAAATTAAATCTCACAACCTTCAATTCTTAAGTAGTATATATATTATAACAACAAAAGTAAACAAACTCAAAGACGGAAGTTTATAGGAACAACCAAACAATTGTGCATCCTATGTAAATGTTTTGCAATAAGTTGATAGGACGCTTTTAGGAGTTGTAACAAGTTCTTTAAGACAGTTTTACAATAAACTGTACCGTTAGTCTATTTATAAAATTGCCTGACATTGAGCCGTTAAGATCCTTTTGGAATCATTTAAGTAGGTTAAAATTTTACCAAACAAGCTGTACATCTGACCAATTCATATATGAAAATTGTGCTTGGAAGTTGAAGTTCACCATTAAAAACTCAAAATGGAATACATTCTAGCTTGTGAAGTTTACTTCCTTGATTCAAAATTCACATGGATTTTACATCACAAACTTAACATCCACAGTTCCGCATATTTCCAACTTAAATGTACAAAATTCAAGAACTCGATTTCATGGTGAGTGTTGGTTTTCATTTTTCAGTTTAAGTGAATAACATCATTGAAATTTATAATTTTGTATACTTTAAATCCGACGAAACACACAGAAAATAGAAGGGAAGCTGTCTAATTTCATCATTAACAATAAGACAAAGAACAAAAAGGAGGATTTATGATGAAATCATGTGTTATAGGTTGATGAAACCCTAGAGTTGAGAGTTGATTTGAGAGAGAGAGAGAGAAGAGTACCTGGAATTCGTGAAGCAGCGAAAAGAGAGAGGTTTAGGAGATTGGATTGTAAAACCCGAGTGTCTGGTATTTATTTGAAACAATGATTTTCTACGAAAGCTTATCAACCTAAGAACTAATTGTTTGTTTATCTTTTAATAGTTTTATTAAGAGATAATTTTTGAATTATTAAAAGATGAATTTTATTTGACAAAATAAAAATTTGCCTTTTAATGGTTATAAAACCCTCTGAATGATTTTGTATTTTGGATCTCCCTTAACCATTAAAAGTCATAATTTCATTGTACACAATTACCAAACAATTATATTTCATTTTGCATTATATCATGAGAGTCTCTTAATCATTCTGATCACTTAATCATTCTGCAACAAACCATTCAGCAATTAGCAAACAGTCCCTTACTATTTATAAGTACAAAGAATTAACTTTTTTAAAAACTCTTTATTACCGGTTTCGCACCCAGGGGCGGACCGCCTAATGGGCCTATAGGGGCCCTGGCCCCTGCGATTTTTTTTGTTAGTAGCTTAGCAGGTTTTTCCATTCTCTTGTAAAACACAAAAAAATTTCAACCGGCCCCCCCACCATTCCCCCTTCAATCTCCATAGCGACGCCGACGACGACCAGTGTGTGCGTGCGCCTGTGAGACTATGACAGTGCGAGAGCGACGGAAGCGAAGTAGCTAGGCAAGGGCGCAAGGCAGTAGCGAACGACGGCAGGAGGACTGGAGCCTGGAGGAGGCGGCCACGGTGAGTTGGTCACGTGAGACGGTCACTCCAAATCTCCAACTCGGTAACTGTAACTCTGTAAGTCTATAAGACCCTGCAACTGTTTACTTTACACCTTACTGCTCACTCTCAGTCTGCACCTTTTCCTAATTTCCTTTTGTTTTGATTTTTGAAATCAAAACCCAGCAGTGCTGCAGACCTGCAGTGGTGATTTAGGTGATTACTAAATACTAATACTAGGTCTAAACTCTAAATTTATGACTTAATTTGGTAAATCTAGTGAAGTAGTGATTTAGTTAGAGATGCCTTTGGACTTTGGTATTTGTTTGCTGTCATACTCTGATACAGTGATACTCATATATATGATTCTTCTTGCTTTAAAATGCGAATTGTTTGTTCTTTTGGTACAAAATTTGGTTAATAGTCCATTCAAATGTTGTTCTAGAAATTGTGGTGGGAAAGATATTACAGCAGATGTGACTGATCTTGGATAGTTGGATACAATTAGGTGGTTTATTAGGTTTAAATTTATGTGGAAATTAAGGTCTAAAACTCTAAATTTAGGTGATTTAGGTCATTAGGTGTATGCCAATATGAATTGAAATCATACCATCTATGATCTAACACTAACACTAACACTAAACTCTAATATGTTCCACTTCCACATCACATGTAGATGAAGATCAAAAGTCAATCTACCATTCATGGGTTTTTTAAAAGAAAGCATGCTATTGCTAGTTCTTCTTCTCAAGATCCCGAAGAAACAACAAATGTAGATAATACCCCTGCATCTAGTATTCCGCCTATTGAAAACCCTTGCAAGAAAGCTCAAATTGAAAGCAATGATATTGATCTGGGTACACTAGAACAAGACCCTGTTTTGCGTCATCAAATTTATGATTATCCTATCAATCAACAAGATATAATTCGACGAGCTTACATGAGTCTTGGTCCTCTTCAACCTACACTTTCTATGTTTCCAAAATCTGGACTAGAAAGTCATAGACGTAGCTTTCAAGCTTCTTGGTATAAGTTACATCCCTGGATTGAATATTCAAAGACCTTGGATGCATCATTTTGTTTTCCTTGTTTTTTATTTAACAAGCCATCCGGGCTCGGATACTATGGTCAACGAGCATTTACCATAGATGGGTTTCGAAATTGGAAAAAGGTGGGTGGGAAAAAATGTGGCTTTTTGATGCATATGGGAACAGATTGTGCATCTTTCCACAATGTTGCACAAAAGGGATGGGATCATTTATCTAATGAGGCGCAAGATATACGAAATGTATATGAGAAGTTCACAACTGAAGAGCGTGAGAAAAATAGATTGAGATTGACGGCTTCTATTTATTGCGTCCGTTGGTGTGCCTTTCAAGCAGTTGCATTTAGAGGCCACAACGAAAAGTCCGATTCCATTAACAGAGGGAATTTTCTTGAAATGTTGGAGGCACTTAGTGAGTTTAGCACCGAGCTTAAAGAGTTATTTTGTCATGCTCCCAGATATGCATCATATACATCACCGTCGATTCAAAAGGAAATTTTGAATCTTATATCAAATAAGGTGAGGCAAATGATTTGTGAGGAAATTGGTGGTCGTCCCTTTTGTTTACTTGTTGACGAAGCACGAGATGAGTCTCATAAAGAGCAAATGTCTCTTGTTTTGATATTTGTTAATAAAGAGGGTTTCATTATAGAACGTTTTTTTGGACTTGTTCATGTACGTGACACTATGGCACAAACGCTCAAGGATGGAATCTATTCTTTGTTGTCACATTACAATCTTGGTGTCAAGTCTATTCGTGGACAAGGGTATGATGGTGCAAGCAATATGCGRGGTCAATTCAAAGGTTTGCAAGCCTTGATTTTAGAAGATTGTAAATACGCATATTATGTTCACTGTCTTGCTCATCGGTTGCAATTGGCATTAATGGCCGCCTCTCAAGGAGTTGTAGCACTACACAAGTTTTTTACAACGTTGTCTTTTGTTGTCAATGTTGTTAGTGCTTCTTCCAAACGCACTGACCAACTACGAGATGCACAAGTCGAGCAAATTGCAT